CCTCCATGATATCCCTATCTTCTCCAAGCCAACCTTGGCAACACAATAGTGTGAGCTAACGTTTAATGGCTCTCCCTTCCTCCCAGCTCTTAAGGTCAAGATCCCATTCTTATACCTGTGTTACTTCCAGAGTGTGGTATATGGCCTTCCTATAAGGAACCAGTTTATAGCCAGGTGGTGGTGGCACATGCCTTTAATCCCAGCACTTGAGAGGCAGGCAGGTGGATCTCTGTGAGTTCGAGACCAGCCTGGTCTACAGAGCGAGTTTCAGGACAGCCAGGGCTACACAGAGAAACCCTGTCACAAAAAAACTAAAAAAATTAAAATATAAAACAGAAAGCAACTAACTGAAGGTGGCCAGGTTAAAATGCTGGCTGAACAGCCCAGGGCCAAGGACCACCAGTTTGTCAGCAGAGACCTAGGGGAGAAAGACATCACCAATATCTACCCGCACCACAGTGAACAGGTGGACACTCTGGGTGTACATATTCACCCAGAGCCTGTTCCTGGGATGATTCACAGATACCAATACCAAAACGGGGGAGGGCAGTAGATAGCCCATATCATGGAACCTGAGACAAGAACACATGATGCTCCAAATGGGAGAAAGAATGAAGCTCAGAATTCGTACATAAGATGCATCCCATTTGTGTTCACATAGTGTATGTGTGCATGTATGTATGCACAGTCAGTGTCGCTGGTAGAGACACGAGACTCAGTCCCGAAATTGGCTTAAATGTATTTTGTGCAGGCTCTTTGCCCTTCCTGAGTATGAGGACAGTTATTGAGTCTCCAGATTCTCATTCAGTGAGTTCCCATCATGCATAGGTTCAGAGAACATGCTTGGCACAGAGTGAGCTCTTACTGCTCACAATGATTGCAAATCTTGATCATGAATGGCAAGCTGCATGTGCCAAGTCCCCAGACGATGCAGAAAGAACTGTGGGGTGGCATTCCTAGTGAGGGGGATGATAAAGCAGGTGTTCCGGGCTGTTTACCACAGTTGTCGGATATATGGCATGTCCCGGAATGCAATGCCTGCTTTCACACTCAGCCCCATCTTATGCTCAGAGCCTCAACTCTGCGGTGTGGCCACCATGGGTGAGAAGGGAGTGCCAGCTGCTCTAGCCGACATGAGCAGAACACAGTGGATACCAGGTAGGCTCTGGACCACAGCACATTGTAATCCTATTCCATAGTTCTCCCTCACCATACTGCACTGTATTGCCATCTGAGCCTGTCTAGAAATGAGTATGTTACATCTCACTGGATATAGCAAGCATCCCTCATCTATGCCAAACAAGGCATTGTGCACATATCCCAGAGTGTGATGCTTCCGTGGCCAGCATAGGCCCAGGACACTTATCCTTTTACGCCCTCTGCTGGTCACACGGCACAACTACATGAAGTTTCTCATAGATTGATACCTTTTTTTTTTTTTTTTTTTTTTTTTTTTTTTTTTTTTTGCCTCTCTTGGGAAATTTTATGCGTGGAAATGACCCCAAGGGAAAGTAACTCATGAGAAAATCAGAACCTCAAATGGAGGCTGAACCCTAGCAATGTTCTTTTTAAAAGGGCCTATAATTGTTTATGTGTATTTGTCCATGTGAATGTGTGCCACATGTGTGCTAGTGTATTCAAAAGGCAGAAGAGGGTGTTATCAGATACACTGGAACTAGAGTGCAGGAGGTTTTTGAGCTGCCCAATGTGGATTCTGGGCACTAAACCTCTGGAAGAGCATCAAGTGCTCTTAACTGACAGCTGAATCATCTCTCCAGCCTTCCCCCACCCCCAGCAATCCAGCAATGTTCTTTTTTTTTATTATTCATCTATTATGTATACAGTGTTCTGCCTGCATGTACACCTACAGGCCAGAAGAGGGCACCAGATCTCATTATAGATGGTTGTGAGCCACCATGTGGTTACTGGGAATTGAACTTAGGACCTCTGGAAGAGCAGCCAGTGCGCTTAACCTCTGAGCCATCTCTCCAGCCCCCATTCGCCCCCTCCCAGGAATGTTCTTAATAGTTTCCCATGTGCTTTCATCCTGCCCCATTCCCTGTGTCCCTGTCTCTTATGTTGTGAGTTGATCCAGCACTGAGTAACATTCCCAGGAGACCATTACAGGAAAACCATTCTATCTACATCCTTCAATTCAAAATCTGTGTAGCTCTCAGAACAGCTGTTCAACAGCTGTAAGGTCCAAACTGGGGTCTGGTGGAGTGACTCGCTGATAGAGTCTGCCTGACTCCTACCCAGTCACGGCCTCCTGCCTGCCCTCCATGCAGGACTAAACGACACTAAGGGGCAGGACCTACCTCTCTTGTCTCTCCCAGGCTTCTTTCTAAATGCATGGGGGTGTGCCTGGCTGTTCCTGTGCTACCAGGGCCTGTAATGGTGACTCTAACCCCAAAGAAGCAATTGCCAAAAAAATGAATTTAAATCCGTGGGGCCCTGCATCCAGAACTTTCTAACCCTTTGCGCTTATCAAGAGTAGACTTGTTGTCTCTGATCCCACATGCCACCAAGAGTTGATTTAAGGGAAGTAACTCGGGAAGTCTTTGTCCAGACCCAGCATCAAAGTTTAATGTCTTCAGAGCAACCCCAGTAGGGAAGCCAGCCCTCAGGTCTGTGAACCCCCAGACCTGCCTTGTCCCGAGCTCACCTCAGAAAACTTGCCATCACCAAACCACCATCCCCATTGCATGCCAAGCACAGCCTGGTGCTGGGAGGTGCCTTTCCAGGACACCACCATGGCAGGCCACCAGGAGAAGCCATCCATCTTTTCCCACATGTGTGTGAGTTCCAGAACAGACTGAAGGATCCTTGGAACTTCCTGGCCAACCAATATAGTCCAGTTGGTGAGCCCTGCGCCAGTGAGAGACATTGTCTCAAAAATAAGGTGGAGAAGGCTGGAGAGATTTCTCAGTGGTTAAGAGTACAGGCTGTTCTTCCAGAAGACCCAGGTTCAATTCCCAGCACCCACACAGTGACTCATAACTGTCTGTAACTCCAGTTCTAGGGAATCTAACACCCTCTTTTGACTTCTAAGGACACCTGGCATGTACACGGCACACACACATACATGCAGGCAAAACATCCACATACATAAAATGAAATTTAAATTACATTAAATTCTGCATGCAATAAAAATAAAATAAAGTAAAGTAGAGGGCTCATTGGATAAAGCACTTGCCATGCAAGTATGAGCACCAGAGTTCAGAACCCATTTAAAGCTGCATACAATAATGCATTTCTGTTATCTAGCATGCCTAGAACATGAGAGAGGTGGAGACAGGAGAATCCTTTGAAGCCTGGGGGCTAATGCCTGTCTCATAAAGTGGTAAACAGCAAGAGACCATGTCTCAAAGCACAGTGGAAGCCAAGGACTTGAGACTGTCCTCTGCCTTCTACACACACTATGGCATGTACAACCTGTGGTCTCACATTCACACAAACACAACAATAACAGGTGGAGATGTGACTGAGGAAAACATTTGATGTCAACCTCTGGCTTCAACCTGCACATGCACATACTATGCACATACACATGGCGGGGGGAGAGACACTGTTCATTTTGATGTCCAGGAAAAGAACAGGCAAAGGAAGGGCCATGTTGCATTTGGAAAATACTTAGAATTGTAATGTATGATAAAAATGACAACAATCACTGGGCATGATGTTGCATGCCCTTAATCCCAGCACTTAGGAGGCAAAAGCAGGTGGATCTTTGTGAGTTCAAGGCCAGCCCGGTCTATAAAGAGAGTTCCAGGACAACCAGGGCTGTTACACAGAGAAATCCTGTCTCAAAAAAAAAAAATGACAACAATCATAGTGGGTGATCATTATACAACTGTTATCTCTTCCCTATATTCAGAGGCTTAAGGTAGTGTGGTAGTTTAAATGTAATTAGCCCCCATAAGCTCATAGGCAGTGGCACTATTAGGAGGTGTGACTTTGTTGGAGTGTGTGTGGCCTTATTGGAGGAAGTGTGTCACTGTGGGCGTGAGCTTTGAGATCTCCTATGTTCAAGCTACATCCAGTGTCACAGTTCACTTCCTGTTACCTGTGAATCATGACATAAAACTCTCAGCTCTTTTTCCAGCACCATATCTGCCTGCATGCCATGTCCCACCATGATGATAATGGACTAAACCTCTAAAACCGTAAGCCACCCCAATTAAGTGGTTTCCTTTATAAGAGTTGCCGTGGTCATGGAGTCTTTTCACAGCAATAGAAACTGTAACTAATACAGAAGTTGGTACCAGGGACTGGGGTATTGCTGTGATAGACCTGATCGTGTTCTTGTTTAGAGGAATTTGGACCTTGGTACTTTGGGTTAGGAACATGGTGGAATGCTTTAAGCACTGCTTAATGGACCATACTGATAGGAGCATGGAAGATTTGAACTATGGGAGGCTGGTTCAAGAGGTTTCAGAGGGGAAGAATTTTAGTATGTTGCCCAGAGATCATTCTTGTGATACTTGGGTGAAGAAAGTGGCTGTTTTTTGTCCTTGTCTGAAGAATCTGACTGAGGCTAAAGTGGAGAGATTTGGATTAATTCTATTGGTAGAGGAAATCTCAAAACAGCCTAATATAGACTCTGTCATATGGTTATTGGCATTAACTCTAATGAAGGTATATAATGAAGAGGAAAAAAAAATACTGAGCAAGGAAAAATACAAAATGTATGATTTGAGGAGGAAAGGAGCACAGGGAAGTGGAATGGAGCTAAGTGTGTGTTCAGAGAGACAAACAAATTAATAAATGGAACAAAGGGAGTGGTGACCTCAGGGCAAGATCCCACACAGCTGAGTTTCCAACTTGTGAAAAGGAATTAAAGGCTGG